ATTCAAGTTTATAATCATATTGAATATATAAAATAAAAATAGCTATATATAATTTATAAAGAAAAATAATTTACCTATCAATCTTAAACGAAAAATAATAAAATTATAATATGTTAATTAAATAAATTTATTTATCAAGTTTATTTATATAATATTTAGTTTACAAATTATTATAATATAAGACGATCAGGTCGTACGGACGGTAAATATTATTTTAAATAAAAATAACATTACCCTGTATTAAAAAATTGTAAATTAATAATTCTATTTTTAAAATAATTAATTATAATTTTTTAAATATAAATTCATTGACAAACACTAACTTGTTAACGCTAGTTTCGTATTCCGATAAGTATTTTCTTAATTTAACTCATGTAATAAATATGTGAGCTATTATACTCATTTAAAGACTTGCAAATACATTTATCGAAATAGAACACAATTTTTGGGACCTTTTAAATATCAATCAAGAAGATATCATGAAAATGTGTTCAATTAAAAATTAAAAAACTTATTGAATGGTTTATATGGTGAAGAAAAAAGTGGAATTTGTAAATTTTTATATGAAAACGTATCCCTATAGAATCCATTAAAGAAAAGCTATAAGCTCATAGTTTTCTATTGAAAAACCTTATAATATGATAGGATATGAAATTNTATGGTGAAGAAAAAAGTGGAATTTGTAAATTTTTATATGACAACGTATCCCTATAGAATCCATTAAAGAAAAGCTATAAGCTCATAGGTTTCTATTGAAAAAACTTATAATATGATAGGATATGAAATTGTTTCAATCTTATCTTATTTAGTCTAGACATATTTTAGTGAGATAAAAATAAAAATAAGTTTTTTATCTCAAATACTTATCTTCTTATCTCACCTTTTTTATTTACAATATAATGACATAAGTTAAGCTATCATTGATTTGTGTATTTTCTAAGTTTTAATACCTTTTTGATACTAAATAAACTACGACAAATGTATATTGAATTAATTGATATTTCCATAAATTCAAATTTATATTCATATTGAATATATAAAATAAAAATAGTTATATATATTTTATAAAGAAAAATAAATTACCTATCAATCTTAAATGAAAAATAATAAAATTATAATATGTTAATTAAATAAATTTATGCACCAAATTTCTTTATATAAAATTTAGCTTACAAATTATTATAATATAAGACAATAAAGTCTTACGGATGGTAAATACTATTTTAAATAAAAATAACATTACCCTTTTTTAAAAAATTATAAAATAATAATTCTATTTTAAAAATAATTAATTATAATTTTTTAAATATAAATTTATTGACAAATACTAATTTGTTAACGTTAGTTTCGTATTCCGATAAGTATTTTCTTAATTTAACTCATGTAATAGATATGTGAGCTATTATACTCATTTGAAGACTCGCAAATACATTTATCGAATTAGAACACAATTTTTGGGACCTTTTAAATAACAATCAAGAAGATATCATGAAAATGTGTTCAATTAAAAATTGAAAAACTTATTGAATGGTTTATATGGTGAAGAAAAAAGTGAAATTTGTAACTTTTTATATGACAACGTATCCCTATAGAATCCATTAAAGAATAGCTATAAGCTCATAGTTTTCTATTGAAAAACATTA